TTCCGGTTTGGATTAGGCTGAGGCAAATTCCGGTGAATTATTACACAAAAGAAACAATTCAGGAGATTGCGGAATGTGTTGGAGAGGTTTTGAAAGTTGAATTTGATTTGGAAAAGTCTCAGGCTCAAGATTATGTGAGAGTCAGAGTTCTTTTTGATGTTAGGACTCCTCTGAGAAATTTGAAAGAAGTTCAACTTCCTACGGGTGAATTGGTTTCAATTACCTTTGATTATGAGAGAATGAGGAAAAGATGTTTCTTTTGTCAAAGACTTACTCATAAGAAATTTGACTGTCCCTTCAATCAACAAAGAAAGAGACAACCTCTCATAATAAATCCAGCACTTGCTGTTACGGAGAAAGGTTTGTCTTTACAACTTGATCATCCTAATGATTCTCCTTCAAAACCTGTTGCACTTTTAACTGCTGTGAGTTCAGTTCTACCAAGTTCTTTGGACAAACAAAAAGGGTTGGTAGGACAAGATGGTACTGGTTCTGGTTTACCTTCAGATTCACCTAAATTATTATCAGATGCTTTGAAAGGTTATTCCAAGGATTTATATCAACAATCAATGGGTGTAGAACCTGGTTCATTCCCTTTAGATTCTCTGGATTTGGATATTTCAGGAAGCTTTAATAATTCGGTGTCTGTTGCTGGCTCTTCGGGTTTGAGTATTAAGCAGAAAAATCCTAACAAGAGAAAACCTTGTTTGATGCAAAAGAAAGCTGCTTCTCCTACGGTGGAAAAAGGTGAAGAGGATAGTTTCATCATTAGATTTGATAAGGTCTTCAAAAGGAAAAATCAAATGCCAGAGTAATCTTCAAAGAGTCTTAAGAGGGATGAGGATACGGTAGTTCCTAGTGAACTGTCGCAGTATCAATAAGGCATCTTAAGTTGGAATTGCCAAGGCTTGAGGAATCCTTGGACAATTCGGAATCTGAAGGAAATGAAAAAGAAACATTTCCCGGATGTTTTATTCCTCATGGAGACCATGAATTCTGATGTGTTTATTATGAAAGTTTTTTCTTGGCTTGGTTATGATTATTTTCATACTATAGAACCATATGAAAAGAGTGGAGGATTGGCAATTTTTTGGAAGCAACATCTGGATATTGATTTGCTTTTTTAAGACAAGAATCTTTTGGACTTAAAGATTTCTCATAGTAAGAAGAGCTGGTTTGTTTCTTGTGTTTATGGTCAACCTGTGGCTCATCTAAGACCTCTGCTTTGGGAAACACTTGACTAAAATTGGGATAGAAAGAAAGGAATCTTGGTGTATGATAGGAGATTTTAATGAGATCCTTTCTAACAAGAAGAAATTAGGTGGTCCATCTAGACAGGTTTCTTCCTTTCAATCCTTTAAGAACATGTTAATGAACTGTGACATGCATGCTGTACAGGAAATGGATTCACTTGGGCAGGTAACAGAAATGATCAATGGATTCAATGAAAGCTGGATAGATGCTTTGGGAATACAGAATGGTTCTTGATGCTTCCTAACTCTCATCAATGGTTTTTGGAAAAGTTAGGATCGAATCATAGACCTGTTTTAGTGAAATTTGTGAATGATCAGGAAATTTTCAGAGGACAATTCAGATTTACAATGCTGTTTTCTCGATAGATGCTGAGAGTGCACCGGGTCCTGACGGCTTCACTGCCTTATTTTTTCAAAAGCATTGGTCTTTAGTCAAACATAAGGCCATCTAAAATGGAGCAACTGATCTTAAAGTTATTATAATAATATTATATATATATATATATAATGATATTATATGAGGAGGTAAGAGAGAGACAGAGAGAAATGCTCAAGATCAGCTCAAGATCAGATCCAGCTCAAGATGAGATCTTGCTCAAATGCTCTACTGTTGGAGTTTTTTCTATTTTTTTATTACTCAAGATCACCCCAGCAGTTGTGCCACTGCAGATGGCCTAAGGTGATTGCAGATATCTAAGGGTTCTTCCAAACATGGGTTCTTCCGGAAGATTGGAACCACACGCATGTATGTTTAATTCCTAAGATTTCAACTCCTTAGAGAATGTCAGATCTTAGACCCATCAGCTTATGCTCGGTGTTGTATAAGATAATTTCTAAAATCTTATCGTCAAGATTGAAACAACATTTGCCTGCGATAATTTCTCCAACTCAAACTGCATTTGTGGCTACAAGGTTAATTTCTGATAATATTCTCATTGCTCATGAAATTGTTCATAATTTGAGAACAAATGAGAAGATCTCCAAAGAATTTATGGCCTTTAAAGCTGACATGTCCAAGGCTTATGATAGGGTAGAGTGGCCCTTCTTAAAAGGAATTTTGTTGGCCATGGGTTTTAGTATGCAGTGGTTAACTTGGATTATGGGTTGTGTGACCTCTGTTTCTTATTTTGTCTTGATAAATGGTCAGCCCTATGGTTATATCAAACCTGAGAGGGGAATCAGACAAGGAGATCCGCTCTCTCCATTTTTATTTGTATTGTGCACGGATGCTTTGATACATATATTAACTTAGGCTGAGACAGAAGGTAAACTGACTAGTATGCAGTTTAATGGGTCTGGTCCTACGATCAATCATTTACTTTTTGCTGATGATACCTTGTTAGTGTGTAAAGCAAAAAAAGAAGAATGTGAAGAGCTTATGCACTGTTTATCAAGTTATGGGAATATCTCAGGCCAAATGATTAATTTAGATAAGTCTTCGATAACTTTTGGGGCCAAAGTCACAGAGGACACTAAACAGTGGATCAAGAATAGGTCAGAAATTCAGTTAGAAGGAGGTTCTGGGAAATATCTGGGTCTACTTGAATGCTTGAGTGGTTCTAAACAAGCCTTATTTAGGTTCATCAAAGAGAAGTTACAATCAAGACTGACGGGATGGTATGCCAAGACTTTGTCTCAAGGTGGCAAAGAGGTATTGCTAAAATCAATTGCTATGGCATTCCCTGTTTATACTATGTCATGCTTTAAATTGCCTAAAAGTTTATGCACAAAGCTGACTAGTGTGATGATGGACATTTGGTGGAATACAATGCAAAACAATAGGAAAATTCATTGGATTGGAGCCCAAAGATTAACTTTGCCTAAGTCTTTAGGAGGATTTGGTTTTAAAGATTTTCAATGCTTTAATCAAGCTCTTTTGGCCAAACAAGCTTGGCGTTTGCTTAATGATCAGGAGAGTCTTTTTTTATAAGATCTTTAAAAGTAGGTACTGCTTGAATACAGATTTTCTCAATGCAACCAATGGAACTCGACCCTCTTATGCCTGGAAGAGTATTTTATTTGGTCGGGAATTATTAAATGAAGGACTGAGAAGAGTGATTGGAAATGGTGAGAATACATATGTATGGATCGACAAATGGTTGTTTGATGGGCAAAATAGAAGACCTATGAATCTTCAGAGACAGATGGATATTACATTGAAAGTGAGTCAGATTATTGATCCTCTTTCTAGGAACTGGAACTTGAATATGCTTAGAGACTTGTTTCCTTGGAAAGATGTTCAGTTAATCTTACAACATAGACCAGTGGTGAGTTTAGCTGATTTTTATTGTTGGTCTGGAACAAACAATGGAATGTACACAGCAAAATCTGGTTATGAGGCCATCAGCAGTCAGACTCATTCTCAGCTTTTCAGATAAGCTAATGCACAACCATCTCTGAATACTCTTTTTCAAAGTATTTGGAGTATTTCGACAGCTCCAAAGATTAAGGTATTCTTTTGGAAAGTTTTAAAAGGTGCAGTTGCAGTAGAAGACAGATTAAGGACTAGAGGAATTCATATTGCAGATGGATGCTTAATGTGTAGAGAAGAAAATGAAACACTTAATCATATTCTGTTTCAGTGTCCCTTGGCTAGACAAGTTTGGGCTTTGCCTCCCTTGCAGTCTCCTTGGAATGGGTTTGGGGATTCAATTTTTGCTAATATGGATCATGTGTTACATTCTTCTCAGAACCAAGACAGTTCTATGCGGTTGAGAACAGTAAGTCCCTGGATCATGTGGGTTTTATGGAAAACAAGAAATACATATCTTTTTGAAGGCACAAGATCCATGTCTCAGGACATTGTCACCAAAGCTTATGAGGATTGTAATCAATGGAGTTTAGCGCAGAGAAATGGGCTCTCTTCTGTTTCTACACAGGTTAAACAATGGATTCCTCCAAAATCTGAAGAACTTATATGTAATATTGGAGTTGCATGGTCAAGACCTTATCAATTGGCTGGTGCATCATGGGTGGTTCGTAATGCAATGGGAGAAGTTTTAATGTATTGTCGACGATCATACTCTCAGGTACATTCTCTGTTTGATGCAAAAATTAAGAGTTGGGAATGGGCTCCAGATAGCATGCGGCATCATCATTTTGATAGAGTTACATTTGGAGCTTCCTCTCATGATATTATTCAAGCCCTCAATAAACCAAGAGATTGGGCGATCATGATTGGTCATATATATAGCAGAGCTTTTAAGTTTTACTAAGGAAAAATTAAACTGGTTTATGATTAGGGAATCTAAACAGGGGAATAGAGGTGCTTTTGAGATAGCTAAGAGTGTGATTACTGGAAGAAGACTGCAATCCTATGTTTCCAGAGGTTATCCGCAGTGGTTAAGGACTCTTTTTGATGAAGAAAAAGTGATGTAGGGGAGAGTTGAATGTCGTTTTGAGTCAGTCCAAATTTTAGGATTTTCTTTTGACTTTAGTCAAAGTGCAGTTTTTTATAAACCTTATCTTCTATATAATTACTCTTGGGTTGCTATTTATTTTGTTTCTTTCTGATTTTATGAATATATTTACTTAATCATCTTAATTTACGTGTTTCACTCTTTTCAACTTTCTTTGACTTATTTTTTCCGATTTTACTAGGGTTTAGTCTTTTGTTTTTTCTCTCGTGTCTATATATATC